CGAATGTTTAGGTACACTAATTATAGAAAGTTAAATAAAATTAATGAATTAAAATGTGTATAATAATGAATTTAAAATTTAATGTAACGACATTAAATAAAATATCTATTAAATATTAAAACAAATATATAATATAAATTTGAATTAAGTACACATTAATAGATTAAAATCAATATCCATTTTATAAACTAATTTTAAGATTTACATAATTACTTGGTTGTTCAAGATATTACACAAGACAGAAAATTACAAGACCCTTTGCTAATAAAAAGGTGAAAACCCCACGTTTAATTGGCATGAATCATATTACAATCTTGAGGGGATGAAAATCGAGGCAAGTGGTGTGCCGAATACCACGTTAATTAATTTGGATCTTGGTTTGTTTGGGTTAAGACGGAAACACGAGTGGTATACCATATATTTTTATGTAAGTAATGAGAAATTTTATTTTTTAAAGTTATTAACTTTTTAACATACGTATCTCACTATTTATATAGTAACACATGGTATACCACCTCATGTACTGATCACATTGGTTCACCACGTGTATTGATCACATTCAAAAATCTCTAGGTTCGTGGCCTCATGCTTTTATTCTAAGCAAGACATTTGGCACTCATGCGGGTGGTGCATGGCCGACCATCAAACTCATACCATGTGAGTTCCAATAACGCATACTAAAAGCCTGTATGACGACATTTATTAGAAGAGTAATGTTATTCCTATCATATTTTTATACCATATTTATATACCATCTTAGGTGTCATCTGATGTGGACAGCCACATCATTTGAAAAATTTACAAAACCCAAGGAAAGGAAAGAGAAAAACTCATCGTATACCACAATCACCATTTAATTAACTAGTTTTTATTAATTATTAGTTTATTAAATAATGAAATAAATTAAAAAATCTGATTAATTCAAATGATGTGGTTGTCCACATTAAATGTCACCTAAGATGATTTGAAAATATGGTACAAAAAACACGGTATAAATAGCATTACTCTTATCAGAATACTAGCTGATATACTCATGCATTTTCTACTCCACTCTTTGACGATCAATTTGCAAGAAACAAACCAAATCATAAATTGCTAACTGCCGATTAATGTTGTTAAAACTTTTGGCCTTTTTTTTTTTTTTTTTTTTTTTTTAAAGTACATCGATATTTTTATATTAAAAGAAGGAAAAATTCGACTAAAACACACAATAGACAACTTAATTTAGTATTGAATTCGAAAAATTTTCATGTTTGTTGAACAACGGTAAAATGACTAAACAATTTTGTATTTAATTAATTTTTTACAGACCTAATCTTTAAATTAAAATTATCAAGGAAAACAAAGGGTAAGAATCAACGTTCGTAAAATTGTTTTAGTTAAGTAAAACTCTGCATAAAATTGTTGTTTGACTTTCAACTTAATTTCGTCAAACAAGTCCTCCTTGGTCACACTCACGCCAATGGAATTGGCATTCAATTCAATCAAGGAAGATTCAATGCTCGCCTGAGGACTGTGTAGGGACGTACGTGTACGAGTCCCGTGAAGCATATTGCTGGCTAGCTCACTCCCCGAAAGATCTTATTTGGATCTCGTGGATATATTTTATTAACGGTTTAATGATATTTATATTCATTGGTAAGTAAGATGTTTTAAATTTAATTTTCGTTAAAAATAAATTTGAACCACATTATTTTCAGCTTATTATGAGATTTAATTCATTCTTTCACCCTCTTAATGTATACAATATCGTTTGTTAAATAACATGACAGATTTTATTAAACTTAATCAGTACCTAATTAAGGTTTAGTTTCAGTTAAGCGATTTAAATTAGCTCGGTTAACATAAGATTGGTGGGAACTACAAGTGCAGGGCACAGCTAGCCTGTAGTACTAGATTCCATTGGACCGGTCAACTGAGTCTACCTGGCCCCTGCAATTAAGTACACATATGTACTCACGCGGAAAACTTGTCACCAAATTAATAACATTTGCATGGCACGTGAGACTTTTATAAAACGGATTTATCACTACCGCAGCATAGAGGGAGACTGACGTATAATTTTATATTAGAGCATCTTCAAGGTAGTTGTCAAAATTATCACAAAGACTAATAAAAAATAGCAACAAAACTCTCTCCAACTGAACTTTCAGTTTTTTACGTGGAGCCGAGTCAATTGAAGTCAAGCCCTCTGCTATCATTTTTACAGCTGCTGTCAAATTGCTATAATGGGTTTTTAATAGGTGTGGTGGAATTCATGATAAATGTTGCTGTGTGTTCCAAGTATTTGATTCATTGTCTCAATAATTGAACCTGACAAAGAGACGGAACATTTTATAAGATGAAATTTTTATTTAGCATATCGGGTAAAACAAAAAATTATACAAAATATCAAATTCTCACATAAGGCATCAAATAACATTTAGGACGCATCGAAACCAATTCCACTTAATTTCTTGTATGACAATGCATCTTCCTTGTTGTGCCATAACATCAAGCTAGTTCCAGGGCTCGCTGGGCGATACACGAAGGAATTTCAACAAAATTAGGCCTAACTAATATGGTTTCTAAGAGCAACAATAATAATCATATCGTCACATCATCACAAAAAACTTATGTATTCATCTGTTTTGATATGAACGATCTATGAAATTTTCTATACGATTTGGTATTAACCACTAAGGTCGCCTATCATTCTATACTAAACGATATTTGAGAAGAGAAACGAACTTGAAACTTTGTATGTTTAGATTAATTCTCTTAATAAACTAATTAACAATTTCAATATAATTAAAATATGTATTTAAATAGTAACAAATTTATAACACTAAGTAATTATGTGATGATAAAATTAAAAAAATCCCTTTTGTACAGATGGATTCAATTAAAATATTATTATTATTCGTGGACAAAACACCTGTCCTAGCGCATGTTGTGTAGATGAAGAAGGGGATTGACTTGTTTGTCGTTTACGTGTTGGTGAATGGAGAAGGACAAAACTCTCGACTTTTGTGCAACCAGTTAAAAACTACATATGTGCATGTATAGGACAAAAATCTACTCCGGATTTCAGTGTCTGAAACTCAAGAACAAGATGATCTGAATCTTTCAAATTAAATCCGACAGTCTCTATTAATTCATTTTGTTGGCTCACATCACATAAAATAAAAACTCAAATTTTTTTGCTTCACACAAGTCAAAATCTCGAATTTTCTGGTCCTTAGGTTGTCTAAAGAGGAACCAAATTCGTGTGTATATACTTATGGAATTGGATCCTCTCTGAGGCAAACCCTCGAGATCCTCTTGATCCAATAACACAGACTGTTGAATTTTGATTTAACGATTATAATTATTACAACTTTTAACGAATCAAAGGGTCATGAGGGTTTGCCTCAGAGAGGATCCAAGGATCCAATTCCATATTCATATTGATATGTAGGAATGGCAGGCTATATGGCTTAGCTGTGAGGGAGGGAATCTGAAGGGAGAGTTGAAAGGTCGAGATGGAGGTCGTGTTTTAGATGATGTTGATGTGTTGTATTTTATTGGGAACTACATGGGAGCCACTCTTTTGTTTACTTGTTTACGAAGCACCGCCGACACTCGTCACTATAGCTTTCGATTGCCAGTACAATATGAGTGTACTCTCACTATAATATATCAAACTTGCACTGCACACTTTGTTTTTTATATGCCAACAGCCCCTAATTTGTATGTTCTTTCATCCGATCGTTTGATCTAGTGACACATAAGCACACTTTCTTTTTTATTTGCGAATTATTGAATGAAAAAGCATGGAAACGGCAGCATAGAAGTGTTCTCAAACATCCCTATTACTGTAGCAAAGTCTTACTATGTTCCCGGACGAAGGCAACATATGCCCACATGGGGCAGCTGCCTCCATTCAACTCCTTTTGCAATAGAAAAATTGCTCTAATTAAAAGTATAGGTTACTCTCTCACGTTCTGTGATTTTTCTACCCTCTCACCCTTCTTAGCCATATAACTTTTTTCATTAGCTAATGGTTTACAATTTAGCGTTCTAAACACTAGTTACCCAAAATCATGTAGTTGGACAATAAAATTTATAACATCGTATCGAATTTTCAATTTAATTTCATTATTCAAAGTTGCTCTCTCACAAAATAAAAAAAAGTTTATGGCTACTTTCATGACTATGTTTATATCTTCTCACCATGCTAATAGTTTTCACATGACATAAATAATGTATGAACACGTTGTCAATAATGTTGATATTGTCGATTTACCAACAATGCTAGTGCCATCAACAAGAACATTGCTCCACTAGTTATCAGTGTCAATTAAAAACTCCTGAAAAGTTAGATTCATTAAGGGTTTACTTAATAACCATTTCATTTATCATTTCACATTTTTATTTTATGTTAGAAATAAATGGAAAACTATATTAGTGAAATGATGATATGGAAAAACATTTAAAGTGCTTCCTGGAAGAAGCACATAACTGATGCTTTTGGAATCCAAAAATATTTTATCTAAAAACGCTTTCAGCTATTTTAAAAGCACATTCAAATGAGTTCTAAAATTATTATAAAATTGTTTTTACTTTCAAATTTTTAATTTTAATTTGATTTATTATTTTTTGTTTCTTACTCTCCATCTCACCACTATTTTTCATTATCCACTTTTGCATATATCAAACATAAAAATTGAAAAAATTAAAATTACAAACTGGTCACCAAAACTAACAAAAGTGGCCCTAAAAATGAGGGCCCAGCACTTGTCTAAATACACCCAACAACCAAATACAAAGCCCATCCCATCGTACCTCAATAGGTCCAAGCCACTTCCTTTTTTACTGAAGCCCATTAAGAAAAATAAACAAGATTTTTAAAACACCAGGCCCAAATTAGTAAAATCCGCCGAAAACAAATTTACTTTGGCGGGAGACAAAATTTGTATTAAGTCTCTCAAATTTATTTAGGCGGGAGCTCAAAAATTTAACGGCGTTATATAAAAGCTCGTCCGACAGGTTTACTTCTGAAATTCCCATCAACCACACTTTTATTCCCAAACTGCCCCCGACCCCTCTCTGAATTTACCATTTCTCCCACCCTCCATGGAACGCTCTCAGGCGCGAACCGTCACAACCAGAAGAGGGTTGAAGCGGAAGCTCGAAGAAGACTTCAGAGATGAGAGGATCGAGGGCGAACCGGACCGGAAAGTCCCGGCCGTCGTCGAACCGCAAGACGATCGCCCAGATCTCGTCGGCCAGGTTCGCGAGCAGGTCCGGATTCTGGAGTCCATATTCTCGTCCGCGCAGCCCGACCGCCTCCTCGCGAAGCAGGCCGCCCATGGCCTCGCTCTCACCGCCAAAGAAGGTAGCGTGCTCGTTGTTGTCTTTTATTTTGGCCGGTGTTCTTGGAGTTAACTGTTTGTTCATCTTTAATCTGAGCGAAATCTTGTGAGATTGTTTGGGGCTTAGGTTTTTTTTTGGGTAATTTGGATGCAGAGGAGCTTGTGGACATCGTGGTGGACTGTGGAGCAGTTCCGGCGCTTGTTAAGCATCTGCAGGCGCCTCCGCCGGTGACAGACGGCCGAAGAAGCCCGATCCCGTACGAGCACGAGGTCGAGAAATACTGTGCTCATGCCCTGGGGTTTATTGCCATTAAGGTGAATTTAACACCGTATTAGCATTCTTTTGGTACTTTATTACATTTTTACAGTGACTTAATTTGTTTCCTTTGTGACCGAAAGGTCGCGGGTTCGAGTTGTGGAAACACTCTCTTTTCAAAGTAAGGGTAATGCTCTGTATGATACACGTTCCCGCCTGACCCCTGCAAAGCAGGAGCCTTGGTGGCTTGGTGTTGCCCATTTTAATTTGTTTTGCTTGTTCTTGTATCCATTTGTAATATATTTTTTTTGGTATGTTAGATCTTATGAGGATTGTAAATATTTAGGGCATTAACTGATGTTATGATGTTCTGTAAAAACAATACCTTCACTGCAGTGCAAATGTTTTTGATCTCTTAGCGGGTAGCTTGTTCTTGATGAGATTTCGAAAAGAAATCTGTTTTATCTCACTTTTTGTTCTGTTATTGATGGGTTTTGTTCTGTATCTGTTTTTATGTTATTTAGCCGGAGTATCAACAACTTGTGGTTGATGCTGGAGCTTTACCGCATCTTGTTGATCTTCTAAAAAGGCACAAGTGGGGAAGTGACTCACCGGCACCTGATGCTGTGATCAGGAGAGCTTGTGATACAATTGCTCACCTTGCCCATGAAAATGGCAACATTAAGAACCTTGTCAGGTCTGTTTGCTTCTACTCTCCTGAGTCTCATATTAGAGAAAGTCTCAGTACTTACGGCTTTGTTTATCTTTGAACTTCAGGATTGAAGGTGGAATTCCTCCTCTTGTTCAACTGCTTAACTTTTTCGACACAAAGGTACAGATAGCGGCTGCAGGGGCCCTTCGGACTCTGGCATTTAAAAATGATGAAAACAAGAATGAGGTATTTACGTTTTCCTTTTTGAGATATTACATAACTGATTTTGGAATCTTTAGTATTTAGCTGATTTGAATTGCAAAATTCCAGATTGTAGTAGAGTGCAATGCTTTGCCTACCCTGGTACTAATGCTTCGATCTGAGGATCCTGTGATGTCTTTTGAAGCGGTGAGCTTTGAGATATACTTAATATTTCTTCTCTCATAACTTGAGAGTTATAACCTCATTGTTCTGTAAGCTTTTGCTGAAATTTTGTGGGGATTATCAGGTTGGTGTAATAGGCAATCTTGTTCACTCATCCCCACACATCAAGAAATTAGTACTTCTTGCTGGTGCTTTACAACCTATTATTGGATTGCTCAGGTAATTCTAAAATATTGCAGCATGTAATTTTTCTTTGAACAATCCTGTTGTTATTATCATTTTTGCCTGAAAAATATACTTAGGTTTCAAACAATGACAACTCTGTTGTTTGTTACTTTATTGACAGTTCCGAATGTACAGAGAGCCAAAGAGAAGCTGCTTTATTACTTGGTCAGTTTGCTGCAGCTGATACAGATTGCAAGGTAAAATAAAACCATTTTGGTTAATCCTGTGTCTTTTACCCTTATACTCTTATCGTATGATACATGATATTGTTAGATGTTATAACCACGTGGTCAATGCAGGCACATATTGTTCAGAGGGGAGCTTTAAAACCATTAATTGAGATGCTTAAGTCACCTGATGCACAGGTTCAGGAGATGTCAGCCTTTACGCTTGGGAGGTTGGCACAGGTTAATATTACTCTTTTTCATTGTTTATTCTCTTAATGCATATATGTAGGAAAGCACACTAAGACAGTTTCAAGTATCATATTAGCAACTGGATGTTAAACAGTCCTAGAACTCATTTTTACTGTGCTTGTGTAAAATATATCTTTGGTAGGGACCCTAATAAAGTAATGGTACTTTCAGATTGTTTTGTACTTTTAGAAAAGGGAAAGATTGCAGTGTTACATGCATGTCTAATTGTAATGCAAGTTTCTTTTTATTAGTGTTAAATCTCTTGTTGGCTATATAGTTTTTTCATCATAAATGCTTACTGGCATGTGGTTACTTGTCAACTTTGTTTGTGTCTGTCGTTAGATTGTTTTACTTGTTTAAGTGGTGGTTAAATTTTAAGGAATATACAACTTACTGGTTTCCTCAATGATTTCTTCATAGGACATACATAACCAAGCTGGCATTGCTCACAATGGTGGTATAATGCCTCTAATCAAGCTTCTTGATTCAAAAAACATCTCTCTGCAACATAATGCTGCGTTTTGTCTATATGGTCTTGCAGATAATGAGGTATAGTTTGCTGTTCCCTGCTTCAGTTCCAGTTTGTAGTGCATGCAGTTTTCCTATATACATCTTTTAATCTTGTATGAAAGTGAGATTAATTTGAGATTTCTTTTGCAGGATAACACTGCAACTATAATAAAGTTTGGAGGTGTTCAGAACTTCCAAGATGGAGTATTCGTTGCTCAGGTAATTTTCCCCTTAAAAAAATGTTATATGATTGTCTACTTGATATTAAGTTGGTTTTTGAAGGTCATGAATTATTGCCTAAATGTCTTTTACCATTTGATACTTGCAGCAAACTAAGGAATGCGTGGCAAAGTCCTTGAAAAGACTAGAGGAGAAGATTTGTGGACGAGTGAGTTCTTTCACATTGGACTGTCTTTTTTACTTTTTTCTGCTGTTCGGTGATTATTTCATTTTGTAATGTCATCTTGTGCTCGTATCACATGACAGACACTCGTTTAGTATGTTCCAAATTCCTTATCTGATAACCCTTGACAGGTTTTAAACCATCTGTTATATATGATGCGGGTGGCAGATAAGGCCACTCGAAGAAGAGTGGCTTTGGCTCTTGCTCATCTTTGCAACCCTAGTGACAGTGAAAGCATTTTTATTTCTAACAAAGGTATGAATCTTATGCATTGAAATTTTCCTAGGATTCTGTTTGTTGCATCTTTAGAGATTTGGTTAGTTAACTGCCAGAACATATGTCTGAATAAAGTATCAGAAGTTTATAATGTGCATGCTTTCTTGGTTTAATGGGGCTTTTTCCTTTCTTTGTTTGCTTGTATGTTTTCACTCAGTGTTGTAACTGAATTGCTTCAAAATACAGAACAGGAATCAGAAAGTTTGGTTTATCTTACCTTGCTGATATTCATAAGTTCACCACATTTGGTTCCAAGAACTTGATCTTTTGCACAAATTCGTTACTTGCAGGATTAGAGTTGCTTTTAGGGCTTCTTAAGTCTCTGCAGTATAAGGAGAAACATGATGGTTCTTTGGCCTTGTACAAATTGGCTACAAAAGTCACTTCACTCGCTCGCATGGATGCAGCTCCTCCATCACCCTCCCCACAGGTATTTTCTTGAGGTCTAATTGGTTTAGTGGGCATGTAATTTTGCAACTTTGCTTTAAGTCTGCTAGGGGCACTATATAATTTGGAAGATGTGTATATTATTTTTGAGCGGTACTATTGTCATACTTTGTCATGGAGTTTGATGCACTTTCTGATATGGTTGACATGATCTACTTTCAGGTGTATTTGGGTGAGCAATATGTAAACAATCCTACCCTTTCTGACATCACATTCTTAGTTGAAGGTGGGCATTGTTCTTTTGCATATATTTTTATTTTTTTTCTTTCAGTAATGTGGTGCCTAGCTACAAGTCTTGGCCGAGTAAACCATCTCTATCATTGAGCAACACCATAACAAGATAGTTTAGTCACTTAATAGTAATTATGCAGTAATACATTTGTATGCTTTACTTCTATCAGGTAAACGGTTCTATGCCCACAGAATTTGTTTGCGTGCCTCATCTGATGCATTCCGTGCCATGTTTGACGGTGGTTACAGGGTAAGAATTGAGTTATACTCGTATCTTTATTGGCCTTTTCCACTCATTGATTCTCTGAATACAATGCCAAAACGATGTATTGTAGGAGAGAGATGCAAAGGACATAGTGATTCCAAATATTAGATGGGAAGCTTTTGAATTGATGATGAGGTAGAAGTTCTACCCCCTGTTTAAGAACTAAAGTGTAATTGCTAACGCACCTGAGTTTCGGCCCTAATAGTTATTATGATCCTGTCTGTTCCCAGATTCATATACACAGGATTGGTAGATGTCACTTTGGATATAGCTCAGGATCTCCTCAGAGCTGCTGATCAGTATCTTTTGGAGGGCCTCAAGCGGCTCTGCGAGCATGCCATTTCTCAGGTGCGCTACCTATTAAAGAAGTTGGTGATTATTGACTACTCTTTTGTTTTCCCGGTTTAGTCTGATTGCGTCTTACTACGTTTATTAAGGACATCTGCGTGGAAAATCTTTCGCTCATGTTTGAGTTATCGGAGGCCTTCAATGCCTTGTCGTTACAGCAAGCATGCATTCTATTTCTACTGGAGCAATTTGAGGAATTGGTTGAGAAACCATGGTAAGCAGTGCTTCTCTCTTTAAATCTGTGTCCACTCTCCAGCAAGCATTACAGTAACATGAAATCTCGTCATGAAAATACTCAGGTATCCGACATTGGTGGACCGTGTGCTACCAGACATTCGCACATTTTTTACTAATGCGCTTAAGATGCCGATCGAGGCAACCTCGCAGCAGCAGCAGCAGGCAATGGCATAGGTCAATCGTAGTGTCGACTTTTGAGAGTATGAAGATGATAGAGAGCAGAAATGTACAGAAAGTAGTAGAGATCGTTTTTTGTGAGTGTTGTTCTTACAGAAGTAGGTAGCTTCTGTTTAGTTTCTTGGTATGTAAACATGCAATGCCGTTTGGCTTATGGAATACGCAGCAGATTGCACATTGTGATTAGCAGTAAGTTTTTCATCGTTTATTTTCTATATCGCCATTACTTATTTGCTTACCCAACCTTGCAATAATATTTTATTTTTTATCTATTCGATAATGCAATAAGTTTTAGAATTTTAGGACTTTTTCAATATACATTTTGAATTTATATGCAAGTCTTGTAGTCAATTATCTAAAATTTGATTCCGAAACTTTTTGAATCCGACCGAAATTTACCCTGTTAGAAGGAAAGGGATCTTATTTGGATCTTTTCTTCTTAATTCACCAAGTTCGAAGATTTGGGTCATTGAAATTTGATCCAACAGCTACAAATAAGGATTCATTTTAAAAATTATAATAATTTTAGTCGTTAAATCAAATTTTAATGGTCTGGATATTTGGACTTGGTGGATTAAGAGGAAAGAATTCACAGAGGATCCCTTCCCTATTAGAAAATGTTTTTAGAATGTCTAATTATAACGGTGAAATAATAATTATGATTGATGAGACAATTTGAAGTTTTATGTTAAATTTTGTGTGTTTTCAATCAAATTGTTAAATATTGTTTTCTTATTAATGTTTTTTTTTTTTGTCAAATGATAGGTTTTGTTAGATTAATTACCGACGAGATTCAAACTCACGTCACGTTGTCATGCATTAAATTTTTACACGGTTGTATTTATTAATAGAATTGTGAAACAAAATTTGTATTCGTTGAAATGTAGTGTAACAAGAGATCCATCATTAAATTAATAAAAAAGAATTTGACGTTGATGTCAAATAACATTTCGGTTGAAATTTTTTTTTTTATGTCAAATACGCATAATAACATTTCCACCTAAGATTTGCTGCATTACCCTTTGCTTTGCCGTTTCAAAGAGGCTATTTAGCTCAAAGCTTTGAGAGAGACGACATGCCGTTTGCTAAATTTTAGTTTTAAATCCGACTATTATCCAGTAGCAATTCAGAGACCTGCAGCAGCGAATGGCCATGGCTGTTCAAGTAGCAGGCCTCTGGCCGTCCAACTCCTCCTCAACCCACACTCACTTTCTTCTCTGCCGGAACAACAACCTGAAACCACCGCCATCCTCAACCTCTCTCTCCGCCACGGCTTCTCTCTCATCCCCACCTCCCTCAATCCAGGCAAGAATTTGCATTTTCCTTTCATATTCTTTTTAAACCGCAAAAGGGTTTCTGTTTTGTGGTTGAATCTTTTCTGGGTAGATTATTTGAGTTGAACGAATCGATATTTCTGAGAAACCTTTATTTTTTGGCAGATTGTTGGTGGCGGGAGAGCTCCGAGCTGGTACGAAAATGGAGGTGCCAATCTGGATGGGTTCCGAGAGGGGGAGGATGATGATTGGTGTGACCTGGATGCTGAACTTTATCACTGGACCAGGCAACTGCGTCCTGTTCAGGTAACCCACGATTCAATTACTCAAGAATTGCGAAGTACTTTTAGAAAAAAAACACTTTTTCTGATAGGTGCTTTTTAGTAGACGCACTTTTATTAGAAGCATGACCTAATATAATTGGATTATTCAAGAATTGGGAAGTTATAGTTTTTGGGAAATATGCACAAATCGAACTGCTTATAAATTTTTGATACAAAATAAAGCTGGAGAGACACTGAACAGATGGTTTATGGTCACTAAACAGTGGTTTATTTACGGCTTATTGTCTGTTTAGTGTCCCCGGTTCTGTGTTTGGTTAAAAGTTTGTGACTGATTCTATATGTGGATATTCCTCGTAGTTTTCTAAATGCGATATGCTTATATGCTTGCTGCATAATTGGACAGTGGTACCCTGGTCACATTGCTAAAACGGAAAAGGAACTCAAAAACCAACTCAAGTTGATGGATGTAGTGATAGAGGTTCGAGATGCGAGAATTCCTATGTCAACTAGTCATCCACAGGTCCGAGCTCTTTACGAAATTATGAAATTGTCGTTTCTTGAGTTGATCGTTGTTATGCTTGTAACCATGAGCTGGTATTCAAAACTATTCAGCCCTCACCCCTTTCTTAATTTATGTAAACTTTTGTCTCTATTTTCTTGTGAACAGATGGATTTGTGGCTTGGTAATAGGAAAAGAGTTTTGGTGTTGAATAGGGAAGACATGATATCCACGGCAGACCGGAATGCTTGGGCTACCTATTTCGCAAGGGAGGGAACGAAAGTTGTGTTTTCAAATGGAAAACTTGGAATGGTACCAGTACCTTATACGAGAATCCTTTTTCAGCTTTCCCTAAATTGAAATGCTATAGCAGAATTTGATTTCTTAAACGTGGCACGTACAGGGAGCTATGAAGCTAGGCCGGTTAGCTAGATCACTAGCAGCAGATGTGAATGTCAAACGCAGAGCCAAAGGACTTCTTCCACGTGCGGTGGGTTCCTTATACGTTATTTCTGGTTTTTAGTTTTGAAATTTCCAGTTCACGAAACTGACAACTAGGAACTGCGGTAATGAACTATCTTTGCCTAGCATTACAAACTGTCAAAAAGGGCCATATATTCGTAAATTATTTTATCTAATTAATGATTTTGATTACGAATCGGATAATATTAGTAGTCAACGGGTGTGGTGAGAGTACTTATGTTAGTTAGTAATTGGATGAACTTTTGGAAGGCAAACTGTGCCCTAACAAAATAGTTCTTGTGTTATATAGATGAGGGAAATGGGGAACTGTAGTTTTTCTTTAATCCAAAGAATATAATTACAGCTATCAGTTGATGCTTCATATAAGACTTATGATCACTGAAGAGAATTCCTTTTTACAAACAGGTACGAGCTGGTATAGTTGGATATCCAAATGTTGGGAAATCGTCTTTGATTAACCGTTTGCTGAAGCGAAGAATGTGTGCAGCTGCTCCAAGACCTGGAGTGACTAGAGAATTGAAGTATAAACTTCTGCTTTGGTTACTTAGACATGCATATAAGATGCAATTAAGATTAGGGAAAATGAAACTGCATTTCAATGTGAAGTTGACATACTGAATTCTCCGTTGTATTTTTCTTCTTATGTAACTTTCCTGTACTTGTTGAAGGTGGGTTCATTTTGGGAAAGATCTTGAATTGCTAGACTCTCCTGGCATACTCCCTATGCGGATTAGTGATCAAACGGCAGCAATAAAACTTGCTATTTGTGATGACATTGGAGAGAGATCTTACGGTGTTGCTGATATTGCTGCAGTACTGGTCCAGATGCTTTCAAAGCTTCCACCAGTAGGTATGTATCACATTTCTTTTTCAGCTCAATCTACTAACCTCTGAATGCGTAACGGTACTTGTCAATGTGGCCATTACATTGGAAAATTTTCTTTCAAATGAGCACACCGGGTGCCACCTTTTTGCCACCTTTTGTAAGGTATCTCAATGTCTGTTAGTTTACGGGAACAATAATGTTGTAGAAGCTAAAAATCAGCTCCAGTCGCCTCTAACGTTTGCTTGGAGTATATAATTTTGTGGATGAGTAAAATAGGCCAATTTGGTAAGCTAAATTGCAGCTCCAGTCACCTCAACGTCAGCCTAGAGTAGGAAAATTTGCAGATGAGTAAAATAGGCCAATTTGGTGAGCCCGGGAAGTTCAATTCTGTGGGTTTTCAGTTACGTAAATCTATGTCATGTTAACTGAGAATACAATAGATTGGAATCAAGGTACTTTAGTACTTTGGATGTTCGGTCCCTATATTTCAGAACAGATCTCTGCATCTAGAAACTAGATTTCAAATTTGACATTTATCTTTCATATGAAATCTTTGAGATATATTTTGTCTTGGTGTTCACTGCCTCCAATTATTCTCAATTTCTCAGGTGTAAAGGCTCTTAACAACCGCTACAAGATGGATGCAGATGGTCACTGTGGAAAAACGTATGAATCTGAGTTTCTATTTAACGTCTGTATTTTCATTTGTAACAAACGATTTGGTTAAGAATCAGTTCCTCTCAAGATTCTGATACCAAGTTTGCAAATTGAAGAAACCTCATGTGCATAAAGTGGGTATAAGTTTTCTAATCTCTGCTAATTTGTAATTGCAGATATGTTCAGAAGCTTGCCGTTCACATGTTCAATGGGGATAGTCATCAAGCAGCATTTCGCGTGTTGTCAGATTTTCGGAAAGGGAGGTTTGGTTGGATTGCGCTCGAGAGGCCACCCAGATGATATTTTATTGGGACGACTTGGTGGTAGGCGAGTAGTCAAGCTTCACAGGTGACTATAAACATAAAAAGAACCCCAATCGCTGAGATGCACAAGTTAAGCATCTTCATGGAGTATCAAAGTCTAGGCAAGTGAAGATGCCCGGTGCCACGAAGACTAAAAACCAAGCTTCATATTGGAGTAAAAACGTCGATTGAGGAGACAGCCGTGAAAACCTTTATAGCCGAAGCTGGGAGGAGCATATAGGCAATGGTGGCTCGCCCTCGTAAGGTATAACATATATACTGAAAACAATGTCAAGTTTTTGTAAACTAAATCTCAACCGGAGGCAGCATGCCCCAAAGACTCTTACTTTGAAAACGGGCACCCCGTTGTGTAGCGTAGCGTATATGTAGTGATTCGCACGAATAATTGAAAATCCAGTTTGAAAAGCCGTACTTTCAACGGAGATTTTGATTTTTTTTGTGTGATTTTGCTGTGTCTTGTATCACACGCAATGCTGCAAATCCAGTAGTTGCAAAGTTGCTACTAAACAAAAAGGAAAACTCACCTGCACACAATTTCTTACCCATACAGTTGAACAATCTGTTTCTTCTACACTTGGACAAAAAGGAAACCAAAACTTTGCACAAAATGAAAGCGAGATACTAAAATTATTGTTCACTCAAGTGTTTTACCTAACAATCGGAGTTTTTGTAACTCAATCGAAATTCAGAAAATTCGTGTAATAAACGTTGAGATGATACGACAATTTGTGTCATCTTGCAACTGTGCGAGCGTAAGTTGAGTCTTCGTTTTTTGACTTCGACCAATTCTCTTTGATCCCGCAAGCTTGGATTGAGCGTTCGATCTGGACTCCTGCAGCTTCTTTTTCCAGTTGAGAGCAATATTTTGTGAATGTCTCTAGAGTAACTTGCAGTCTGAAATCTATAGTAAACAAGAACTTCATCTCCAACCTATTCAACTCCACCGTGCTCACTCCTCCCACTTTTGCGTAGTATGCGTTGTTGAAGAACCTGCAAAACCGCGTTGAATCTTTAATGTCAGAAGCGTCTCCAATAACGAAAACATCGTGTTCAGAAATGATTCACATAAAACTGATTCTAAGATTTAGTACTTACGCGTCATCCATAAATTTCGCTGCTAGCATTACACTCGTTATCAGAAGCCGGTGAACATTGAAAGAAGTTAAATGCACTTCTGTGCACTTAAGATATCTGTCAACGTAGATCTGTGCAACAACGAAGCACGATGGGCTACAACCGGAGTATTTACAGATGCGATCAATATATTGTCCGATGCTCAGAGGGGGTGCTCTTAAACCATGAAAGATGGTTATAACTTCTTTAATATTTGTCGTCTCCAATAGCATCTCGTTCCTTTGAACAGATCTCTCGAGAATTGAAGAGAGAGGTGACAGCACCCGAGGAGTTTTCGTTACACCCTTGCCCGATGTCTTAAGCCCCAAGGAGAGGTAAACATCCGAGCTTCCATTTTCATCGTCAAGTGCTAAAGTTCCCATATCCAAGCTGCAAAGTAAAACACTGATTTAGCGAAAATGAACAAGTCATCTGGCGTGCCTCTGCAAATTGTAGCCCAAATCCAATACACGTTACGTGTTCTATATTTTGGGTACGACAGAAGTTTCATTGAACACACAACGCAGCATTACGAAAAACTATTCTGAGGTCGCACTAAAAGTACTGGGACGAAAGAACTAAACAACATCTTTACCCCGAAAAGAAAAACTACGAAAGAGCAGTAGAAGCACTTTTACATAAAGCACTTTTACATTCTTTATATTATTCTTGAAATATTTCTAAAAATTGGTTTCTAAATCCTAGATATTTGCTCCTGTTCTCAATTGCAGACACAGAAATACATCTAAATCTAAATATATAGAGGTATTAGCCGATTTTCCTCTTGAACTTGTACCGAGCTACCAATTTACCCCTCGACTTTTATTTTAGCCAATTACCCCAGTGAGCTTTTATTAATAGCCGATTACCACTCTGCTGTTAGACTTTCCAATTCCATCCATTTTATATTATATTGATTCCTGAGTGGTAATCCAAGTTATCCAATTCTAGCACCAACTTCCTACCCACTTTCTCTACTCGTAAAAAAAATAAAAAATAAAAAAAAGCATGGAAATTTGAAACTCCTACTAAAATTATGAATTTGAGCTGAATAAAATGTCCAAATATATGAAGCTGTTACTAATTTATCATCAAATGCTCCAAAAACTTGAATCCCACAAACAAATTTCTCAAAAAAATATAAGAACTAGAAGTCAAATAATCAATAGAATTACTGACCCAGAAAGGGAAATCAATAAACTCAACAAACCAAGAACAACCCACAAATTATCTGATCAAGAGACATAAAAAGGAACAAGCTTTTTCATCAAATCCCAGCCCAGAAGATGCAAGATCCAAATCCCACGTCCCAAATCAATAAATTTAAACAATGCTGTTCATGCAGGGCATATGAGAATAACTTAGAGAGAGAGAGAGAGAGAGTTTTGCTTACATGAACAAGCAAAGGCAGAACAATATTAGCTCATGGAGTTTCTTCTTCCTCCTCTCTGGCGCCAAATCTCTTTTATGCAAACTATCTGCTGCAGAGTCAGGAGGAGAGAGAGACAGAGAGGAGAGAGAAAGAGCTTTGCTTTGCTTTCTCTATGCAATCCCCAAGGCAAAGGCAATGCTAAATCTACTCCCTCTTCCTCACTCTCTCTCTCTTCACATGGAAGGAGAGATCTCTCCGCGTCTCTCTCCCTCTCTCTCTCTCTAAATTGGCGCAAAAGAAGGTGTCGGCGTGTACTCAACACCAATTTTTATAAGGGATGGGCTGCAAAGACTTCTTATTATTCTTGCCTTCCTAATGGTGAAGTGGGACCCCTGAAGACTGCCTTTCCTTTTCTTTTCCACCGCAAATGGGGGAGGTGGATGATTGCACTCGAAATTATAATTTATAGTTATTTAACTTTTAGTATTTAGCTTTGCAAATTTAATTCCTTGTAATTAAAATGTAGGAAAACTTTACATTACAATTTACATCCTTTTAAATATGCTTGACAATTTTTTAGATGATCCGTTAATTCAATATGAAACCAAAATAGTAGGTTTCGAGTTAATCCGTTAACGAGTCAGATAGTCATCAGATTAAGAACCCGTTAATTAATCGGATCGTTATCAGGTCACCCATTAAAAACTCAATAAAATATCATTTGTCAGATCTAGACGTTAAGCATGACAATTTTTGGTTTGACCTGTTAATCTGACACTAAACGATACGACCTGTTAACGAATCAGGTTATTATCCAGTTATCTATAAAGAACCTTTTAAGATAACGGATTTGATACACGGTTTGTTTGCCATGTCTACTTCCAAAGATAAAGTGAAAGTGCTAAGAAGCAGCTAATACACTGATGAGAGATGTAAATATCAAATAAATTTCCCTTGTGCATTAGAAATTTTCGGTAAATAAAAACCCAGGAATTACCTTATGAAACTCAATACATGTATTTACAGTGTAAAATTTTGTTTTCTTTATCGTACATGATGAGGACCCATGTGCATTGTGCAAGGTAGGAGACTAGGAGTGTCCTTTACCATATACAAATGTGAATAATCCAAATTCTTAAATATAATTTTATTTCTCCGTTAATAATGCCACAAGATAGGACATGTCACCCTTTAGTGGGTCACTTGTACTGATAATGATTGGCAACCATAAGGTGTGGATCTTGATTAATCCCTAATTGTTAATCAAGTTCAAATACGTTTATCATTCATTTTCTCTAAATCTCTGTGTCTGAAATAGTTGAATTTGACAATTTGGACTGAACAAGTGGGAGGGTTTCGAGCCATTTAAAGAGTTCGTTTTATGTGATGTGGATAAATGTAATGGGCTAACGAGGATTGCATAATTAAAATTGAGATGTTCGGATTTTCAAATTTGATGGCTTCGAACACATAAATTCAGAAATAATCTCACTTCATTATAATCCATTATCATTATCCAAGTGGGGTGACTGGTTTTCCTCCTCCTTTTGTTCTTACGGTTTGATTGGATTTTGAATAACCTATCACTTTGGAAATATCTAATCTCACAGTTTTACTCAAGATTTTTCCTTGTCATTTCACGTTACGTTTTTTTAGTGTAACACTCATACATGGGTATGTCTCAATGATATTCTTTAACTTTCATCGTCAGTTAATATTCGATATTCTTTAACTTACATGTTGATTAAGGCACTTTCAATATTATTCAATTATTTTATACGAAGTAAGTAAAGGTCTTTTAACCTTAACTCAATTGGAGAAATAGTTCTTCAACTAAAAATCCATTATCATTGGTCCTCCCTTAACACATCAAAACGTACAGCTATGATCCCTCAACTAAAAATTCATTATCATTTGTCCCTCAACTTTAATCCAACTGGAGAAATGGTCCCTCAACTTTAACTCAATTGGAGTAATGATTTTTTTAACATAACTTATTTTGACAAAATTCTAATGAAGTTAACGAAAATGACCATAGCTACACATTTTGATAAGTTGAAGGATTAATGGTAATGATTTTTTAGTTGAATAATCATTGTTTTAATTTGATTAAAATTGAAAGACAATTGCTACAATTTACTCTTTTCTACAACCACATATGAAATTTTAAAGGTCACATGATGAGTGAAACTCTCACGCGTGAAGATTCGTTAGCGCTTGAAATTGTTCCCAACAGCTGGCATTTGGCATTCCACATTGGCATAGGGCTTAGGGGACAAGTGAACGTAAGGCTGCACGTAACATGTTTCTTAAAAGTTTTGTTGGCATCCCCTCCTCATTAGTCCTCGATTCCAGGCCAAAATTACAGTCCGGTGGGTACAGCTGGCAGATGTCGGATCCAACCGGCTTAGAAATTTGGACTGCAAATAATGTCGGTGCAAAACTAAATAGAGAAATTGTTTGTCGGAAAAGTGTTAAGGAAGATTATATTTTGTATCAGTATTATATTGGTAAACTATTTAATATGATAAATAATATGTATACGTTATTTTTTATATTCAAAGAAACAAAAATATGATCTCTTTAATATTTGTAGGCCTAGCACAATCAGGCGGAGTGGTAGACACCGTTGTTTTGAGTTAATAAACTGCTCATGGTGAAACCCAATACAAGAAAATGACTAATATAGCACAAGTGTACCACTTCAGATGCGTACCGTACCAATGAAATAAGGGCATGTAAGTTGTTCTCAAGGGGCATTCGCCATGTTATTTATGTGTGCGCATGTGCATTATGAGAAATTTTTAGTAAGGAATACGGCTTGATACATCAAAGTGTTATAATACAAGTGATTGAATTTTTTTTCTTTAAGTATTCAACTACTTGTATTATGACACTTAATGTACTAGACCGTGTTCACGATATATAGAGTTGGTTTGGTATTGATGTGCTTTGAAAA